AAAGCTGTTTCATAAAATTGGCGCAAGGGGCCTGGAAACGACATTGTTACCTTGGCAACAAAATTAGAAGTGTTTTTCCATGCGTCTCATCATGTACAATCAGTATGCAAAATTTCATTTGATTTGGGCCCATAATAACTGAGCTATGCTTCAGTGTAGTATTCAATAAACATACTTACCCAGCTAATGACGTCACACGTTGTGCTGAATCAGCAATTTATATTTTCACATTTTTGCGTATAACTTCGGAACTAGATGAGATAGAATGGAGCATTAAACGGCCAATCGGCTTATTTTTTCATGCTCTTTCAGATGAAGCAATAAGATAGATGAAGCAATTTTTGTTGCCAATCTCCTTTAAATAAACGAACAAAAGTTGAAAGAAGCTGTTTTATAGGCTGCATTAATAGATAGATTGATAAATTTCCTGAATTAAAAGTTTAACGGAGCATCAATACCGCGCCTTGTCCAATTTGATTCACATTAAAGATGTATTTGCATCTTGCTATCGGTTATGGGAAGAGTTTAATATTCCAAAGTTCTAACACCGAGAGTAGCACGACGACTTGGCAAAAGCCACAATTTTCTGGAGAAACCCATCTTAATAGTCATTTGCAAATTGAACTCTTTCATTGACTCTCACGTCCGTGAACTAAGAAAGCGTGGATGCCGTGTTACTTCACTGTCAAACGAAGAGGACGAGAAAGCAATACTAGATGGAGAGTTTGCATTCGCATTTTGTAATCCCGAGTCTATTATTCGAAATGCGAAATGGAGAGGAATGATTTCAATCGTTTCATTTGAAATCTACAAGACAAATTTGCTTGCTTTTGTATTAACAGACAAAGTTCACGTCGGCCCAAAGAGGTGTGTTTAATATAAAATTTATAAAATACAGATTTTTTTTAATGTATATTGCAGGATTAAATTGAATGTATATTGCAAGATTAAAGTGAATGAATATAAATATATATTTATATTAAATTGAATAGATGTGATGTTTTAAATTGAATGAAATTTAGGAGAATGAATATTGCTACAAATGGGCAGGCATACACTAGACAGTAAACATGCGATAAAACCCTGTCTAGACGGCCTGGCGTCAAGGATAATGATTGGATAATATTTTTAGAATATGATGCATTAAGCAATTATACATTTTTTGCATTCTTTATCCGAACCAGGAATCGCCAACAAATTCACCAGAGGTTTTTCCTTTTTCTTCGCGCGTTTTCTCGCATTTCGCGTAAAAACCTCTGGGCCAGGGTAATAGGTTAAAGGTAATATCTAGTAATATTCCTGTTAAGGGTCAGTGGGAGGTTGATAAGTTTAGTGATAGTCGAGCATCTGTTGGAATTGTGTATAGGAAGTTTAGAAATGAGCATAGAACTGTTAGAAATGTTAGGTATGCTAAAAATACATCTGGAATGATAGTTGGGATTAGTTATGATGAGCTTACAGGTATGTCTTCCCTTGCTAGTCTAAATGATTATATGAGGTATTACGCAAACAAAAGCGTGGGTCTTGTTGATACCTCACTTTTACAGGAAAGCTTACAATGTTATGTATACTGTGTCCTTGGAGCTCAAGCTAATACTCGGTGGGCTATAGTAAACCGTGGAACCTCCTCTTTACTGTCTCAAAAAGGATTCCGTAAACTTGTAGAAGATGTTGTAGTTCAAACTGATATTTCAGTTGGAATCGCTAATATGAGAACAGCAATTAGAGATACTAACGCAATAGTAAATACAGCAATAAATCCTGACATTATTTTATTTCCATCAAATTTGGTAATATTAAAGGATTCTATTCCCGGTTATAATAATATTCTACTTAAACCTAACTCTAGTGTTAAGTTTGGTGTAAATACTAAAGTAAATTATGTAGGTGTTAAGAAAGCTGATCCTCCAAAGAAGCAACATCAGGATACAACACCTGTTAATCACCTTGATACTCTTAGTGGATACGTAAAACAACAGATTAAACCTAGAGAAAACAACTCCTTTCGTAGAACTATGGTTAACAGTAATAATTCTTCAGAAGTTAGCGCTATTGCTGGGGCTGGAATTGGTGCTACAGTTGTATTTATTATAATGAAAATGTTCTTGTAAACATTATGTATGTTATAAAATGGCTCTCTATAGGGGATACAACAAAGGAGTAAATAAAGTTGACCCATCAAGTGGTAGTGTGTTTGATAAGAACGGATTTACCATGAAGGGTGACATTGAGATGGATGGTAATGAGGTGAAGGGTTTAGGTGCACCTACAGATGATACGTCTGCGGTCACAAAAAAGTGGGTGGATGATGAGATTATAAAAAGAGCTGCTCTTACAATTCAACCAGCAGGGTTTACAATGACTGGGGATATCAACATGGGAGGTAATAAGATAACTAATCTTGATAATCCTACTAATCCAGGTGACGCTGCTAGCAAGAGTTGGGTTGAAGGTAGTCGTGTAAGTTTACCCGGTCTTATCCTTACGAATGATCTTAATATGTCAACAAATGAGATAAAGGCTCTGGGTGATCCTACAACTGGAAAGTCTGCTGTTAATAAGGACTGGGTAACTAGCATGATAAATAAACCTGTATCTGGACTTAATATTACTGGTGACATTGATATGAAAAACCATGAGATTAAAAATCTTAAGGACCCCACTGAGGATCAGTCTGCTGTTACAAAAAAGTGGGCGGTTGATAATAACTTTGTTAAAAAGGTGGAATAATGCAAGGAGATGTGTCCATGGGAGGTTGGAGATTGTTTGATATTATTTACCCTAAACTCGATAGTGAGGTTGTATCAAAAAAGTGGATTGAAGATAAAATATCTACGTTCGATTCTAATATGCTAAATCTTCAGGTTTTACAATGACAGGTACTCTTAAGATGGGTGGAAATGAAATTAAAAATATAGGTGACCCTAGTTCGAGTACATCAGCTGTTAGTAAGAGGTGGGTTACATCAGGATTCACTTTAAATGGTGATCTAACCGTTGCAAATGGCAATTCAATCTATGCGATCAACAACCTTGGTGCAAAAATAGCTGTTCCCAATATTCAAACTGTGATAAACCAAATTTCACGCTTTGCCTTGAAATTGGACGGTTCAAATGAAATGACTGGTGTTCTCAAGATGGGTGGAAATGAAATTGAAAATATTGGGGCTCCTAGTGCTGATACATCTGCTGTTAACAAAAAGTGGGTAGAAGATAAGATTAGTGGAGGTAGAAGTAAGCGTGAGACTTACAGCGGTCTTACACTATCTGACGACCTTGATATGGGAAACAATGAAATAATAAAATTAGGTGCTCCAACAACTGATAATTCTGCTGTTTCCAAAAAATGGGTCACCGATCACGTTAGTGGGAGTTCAATTAGTAGTAGCGGCTTCACTATGACAGGTAATATTGACATGGGTGGTCATAGTATTACAGGTCTCAGTAGTGGATCAGCTGGGGACGCAGCTGCAGTTTCCTATAAGGCTATGAGCTCCTGGTGCTCGCAGTTCTTAAAGCGTGATGGTGGTGTTTTATCGGGCAATCTTGATGTTAACGATTATGAGTTAACTAGGGTAGGTAATCCTACAACTGACGGTTCTGCTGTAAATAAGAAATGGGCAACTGATGAGTTCATGAGTAGTAGAGGCGGACTGGTAAAGGGTGATCTGGATATGGGAGATTCAAGTGGTATTCTTGATCTAAAGGATCCGGTAAATGATAAGGATGCAGTTAACAAGCAATGGGTAGAAAAGAATTTCCTGAAACCTTCCTCAGGTCTTGTACAAGCAGCGGCCGATAAGAGATACGTAAGAATAAACCATCACATCTATTCAGAATGGATTTGGGGTTATCGTGGTGTATCAGTTGCAGCAACAAGGTACTATGCTTACTGTCAAGATCAGATTCCACCTTCATGGAGAACAGATACTATTAATAATATGACAGACCTCAACCTTGAGTCAATTACTATTAAATCAGATTACCCAAGAATTTCAACTGTTCTAAATATACCCCTAGCTCTAATCCTGTGGGCTACTGTATAGGAAAAGCAGTCTAATGGAAAATTTACACAGGTTAAGAAGGAAATCGCTCTGAAAACAATAGACTTAAGAAGACTGTCACACACCTGGTTCAATGGAACTTACACAACTGCTGGTGGAAGTACAGCCTGCTATGTTTTCAAGGGTAATAGCATGTTCTATTTAGGAAACCAGGTTGAGTTGGTGGATAACACGCTGGCTTGGTGTATTATAGTTAAACCAGAACACTCAATGCCCACTGGATCGAGTATGGATATGTCCTTTTGCTGGTCACTTCGATACTCAGGGTCAGGTGCTTAACATTTGTTGTAATATAAGGTATAATGTCAAAGTGGCGGTCATGCTTCTCATGTATGGGTAAGATTTGTGGTTGCCGTAGGAGGTCTAATAAGGGAAAGGGGGTTGGTGATATAAATTTTTCTGTATCAAACAATATTAACGTTGGAGTAAGCACACAAGATAAAAAAGATACTTCAAACACCGTATTTGAACCAAAAAGTTACGGCCCCTTAAGTATCCTCAGGAGTGAAATAAAAGATGTTGAATAGGCTTTGGAATAGAGGAATTGAATGAAATTGGTGGAGTTGAAATTTGAAGATTTGAGAGAAGTGAATCGTTTTAATTTTGTTAGAAAATCTAGCGCTTAAAAAACCAATATGGTCTAGAAAATAAAATCATGATTAAAAAATTCAGATTGAGCCAGACGGATTCCGGTTCACGGAAAAACCGTCGAAAGTCTAGTGGTCCAGACACGCTAGTTCCTATACTACTTAAAACTTTAAAACAACGACAATGGCTTCGTTTGTGTCTCCAATGCCACCATTTAATCCGGACGAAGAAGTCGGGGGGAACCAAGCGCTCCGATAGCGAACATGGCTGGCAGATTTCAAAATGTTTCTCGCTGCCATGCAGTAATATCACAAACAAAACACGCCAGAGAGCACTATTATTATACCAGGCAGGGCCACGAGTAAGAGAAATATTTCGACAATTCCCCGATCCTGGGACAGACGACGATATAGCTAAAGCAGAGGAACTTCTTACGGCGTATTTCGAGCCACAAAAGAATCGTTTATATGAGGTATATAAATTCCGACAAGCAAAACAAGGCGTGTCCGAAACAATTGATCAATTTCATACAAGACTACATTCCATATCAAAGAACTGTGAGTTTTCTGACGTTGACTTTGAAATAATGGTACAAATCGTAATCGGGGGAAAGTCTAGCCGTGTACGTAAACAAGCTTTACGCGACCCGAAATATTCCTTAAAAGATTTATTGCTCGGCGCGAAGAAACAAGCAAAACACAAGCAGCGGATATCGAAGGGAATTTAGATGATCAAGCCTTAAATGCGTTTAATACTAAGACATAATCAGGGAAAAACAACAAAACATGTTTTAATTGCGGCGGTGAATTTCCTCACAAAGACAGACCACGCCCAGCCAAGAACAAAACATGCACAAAATGTGGTAAACAAAACCATTTCGCTAAACAATGTCGAAGCGGAAATCGAAACACACGAAAGAGCCAAAAACCGCATGATAGTCGAAAGGAATTGCGACCAATGAGAAAATCTGACGATGAGAGCAGCAGTAACAGCGACAGCGAATCTACGGAATATTGTTATGCAGTCAATAACAAGCAAAAACATCCGCGAACATCTGTGTCAATAAACGGACAGCGCGTAAAAATGACAATTGACATCGGATCTAGTATAAACGTGATTGATAAGAACACATTCGCAAAACTGCGGAACATTGAGCTTAAAAAGACATCCGTCAAAGCATACCCCTTCAATTCGGATAAACATGTCAAGATGGAAGGCAAATTTCGCGCTCTAGCTGAATCGAAACATAAATTCACGGTTGCGAAAATCTATGTAACCTCTGAGGACGGTGGTTGTTTATTGAGCTCTGAAACAGCGCAGGAACTCGGACTTGTCAGTCTACACCTTAATGAAATAAATAAGAACACCACCTCAACTAGTTCAGAACAACCATCACAACTCAAACTACATACAAATGACAAAAAGCTCCAACACATTTTGGATAACCACACCCCTGTTTTCAGTGGACTGGGTAAACTCAGAAATAAACAGGTTGAACTAGCAATCGATGAAACAGTTACCCATGTCGCACAGCCTCAGCGAAGGATACCATTTCATCTACGTCAGAAAGTTGAAAATGAGATAAAAAAGTTGGAGCATGATGACATTATTGAGAAAATTCCAGAAAACACACCAACAGAATGGGTTTCCCCAGTAGTTGTTCCTAAGCAAAACAATAATATTCGACTATGCGTTGATATGTGGGTAGCAAACACATGCAGCCATCAAATGAACAACACATCCAATACCAACTCTTGAATCTGTCTCCATGGAACTTAAAGGAGCTTCATTCTTTTCAAAACTTGACCTGTGCCAAGCATACCACCAGCTTGAACTTAGTCCTGAATCACGAAATATCACAACCTTTTGCACTCACCTTGGACTCTTTCGCTATATAAACGATTAAACTATGGCACTAACGCAGCGGCTGAACTTTTCCAACACACGTTACAGCAGATATTACAGGACATTAATGGAATAAAGAACATTGCGGACGATATAATCGTATTCGACAACACTTGGGCAGAACATGGCCGCGCTCTAGAGGAATGTCTTACCAGATTACAAGAGCATAACCTTACGCTTAACTTTCAGAAATGTAGGTTTCTCAAGAAGAATCTTGAATTCTTTGGGCTTGTCTTTACAGAACAAGGTGTCAGTCCAGACCCCAAGAAAGTTGAAGCATTTCCCAACACACAACAAGCTACAACAGTCAGTGAATTAAGTTAGAGGTTTATTAGAAATGGCGAACTACAGCTCCAAATTTATTAAAGATTATGCAACCATCACCAAGCCCCTACGTAAACTAACCCGAAAGAGTACACGTTTTACGTGGACAAACAAACATCAAGCGGCTTATAACCAAGGGTGGGTAGTAGCGAAGTAGTTGTAGTTCGCTACTGTAGCGAACTATAATTTTCAAGTAGCCAGTAGTTTCTGACTACTTTTTTAAAACAGTAGTTGTAGTTATAGCGAACTACATTTGGCCTAAAAGTAGCCAAGTAGTTGACTGCTTTTCAAACAGCGAATCGCTATTCGCTACTTTTCAAAATTGTTAGCAACCGTTCATAGAATAGAATGATATTAAGACACGGTTTGCTTAAAAGATTATTTTATACAGTAAAGATTATTTTAGCGCAATGAAAAGTGGCACTCCTGAACACTGTAGTGCTTATAAAAATCTTGCTTTGACCCTTTTTGTTTACTGTTGCTACTCGTAAGTCGATTTGTTGTAGGTTATATTACAGCCTGAGCTAGTGGATGCTCCAAATACCGTAAAACTAAAAAATATAGAGTAGCGAAATAGCGAAATAGTTCGCTACATTTTTTAAGCAGTAGCTGTAGTCAGTAGCGAACTACCTTTGTTCAAAAGTAGCAGTAGTTGTAGCTGACTACATATTTTTGAAGTAGCTGTAGTTATAGCGAACTACAAAAATTTTGTAGTCAACCCACCCTTGCTTATAACCTTATGATAAACTGAAGCATGCCCTACTAAATAGTCCAGTCACGAGCCATTTTAACACCTCTAAAGAAACTTATATTTTAGTTGATGCCATTAGAGCTAATCTATAACAACCCTATGTCTCGACCCCCCGCCAGAATTGAAAGATGGTTCCTAAGGCTCCAACAATATGATTTTCAGGTGATCTACAAGAAAGGTAGTGACAACCCAGCGGATCCAGAACCAAAAGTACCAAAACGTAGTATGGCTGAGGAATACATGAATTTCGTGACCGTCAATGCCGCCCAAGCTGCAATACCACTAACAGTTATAAAAGAACACACCTCCAGAGATTCTAGCCTTGTCGCAGTACAAAAGGCAGTAGAGTCTGGTGACTGGACTGATAAACTGGTGAAACCGGTTCTCAACATCAGGGACGAAATAGCTGTGGATAGCAACAATGGGGTAATTTTACGAAGAACAAGAATAATCATACCTGCAACTCTACAAATACGCATTGTAAAACTTGCACATACAGGTCACCAAGGTCTTGCAAAGACCAAAGCTTTGTTACGCGCCAATATACGCCTGGTTCCCCAATATGAACAAAGCAGCAAAAGAGGAAATCGATACATGCATGTTTACCATGCCAAGTTAATGGACCCCCTAACCCACCAGAACCGTTGCTAACACCAGAAATGCCAGATGGACCATGGCAATTCATTCACGCTGACTTTTATGGGCCACTCCCCACCGGACAGTACATTATCGTCCTAATTGACAAATATTCTCGATATCCAGAGGCCGAAATAATTAACAGTACCTCAGCTAAAACACTTATTCCCAAATTAGATGCTATTTTTGCACGACACGGAATTCCACACACGCTTAAATCAGATAATGGACCACCTTTCAATGGTAATGAATTTAAAACTTATTTAACAAAACTGGGTGTAACACACGAGACATGGACACCAGAATGGCCACAAGGAAATTCGGTAGCCGAAGCGTTTATGAAATCTCTTGGCAAAGCAATAAGAACAGCTCGAGCAGAAAATCGTAACTGGGTCCAAGAGCTTTCCAGGTTCTTATTAAGTTATCGAACCACACCACATTCCTCAACTAACATTCCACCTGCTCAACTTCTATTTAATCGACCAGTGCGAGGAACATTACCCATGTTAAAACCGAAAGCTAAGGTGTTAAATAGACATAAAGAAGCCAAAGCAAACGATGCAAAAGCAAAACCAAAAGGAAGAGACTATGCGAATGAAAGAAGACATACCAAAACATCAAGCCTAAATGTGGGAGACAAAGTGATTCTTAAAACAAAGAAAGAGAAACAAATTTACAGCAAAATTCGAACTAGAACCATAGTAGCTGAAAATCGAAGACATACGGTAACAAGGAATGCATCCTTCTTTAAACGGATAAAGGGTGATGTGAGAGAGTCAGATGAGGATGGATATTTCAAGGATCGAGCAACAACAACGGAAATGAACAACGAAGTACAAGCATGCACCAATGAACAGGGACGTGCAAGCACCAATGAACAGGGACGTGCAAGCACCAATACTGCGAAGATCGACAAGAAACCGCATTCAAAGAGAACAATACGGAAACACAATAAATCTAGACTTGATTATTCATTAAATTATGGGACAAACATTTGATATAATTAGCAAAGAGATTTTGTTGTAGTGTTGTAGACACACCCCTCTCATGATTGACATATCATGAAACAGTAGGAGACAATAGGATTGTTATTGCATGCAATGTGAGAGTGTAGGAAAGCAAGAAATAGAATATACGTTTAAATTCAACATTTGGATAAGTATACAATTTGGAATGCTCTGCTATGTTTTTAAATTGGAAGAGAATGAATATCCAATCGTTTCCAGTATCTATACAGCCCGGCTGACGCTGAAGGGTTTTAAGGTCAAAACAAAATCTTCACTTTGTACCATTTGTAATGAATAGACAATTCCCATTATAGACTAATTTTAAAACTAGGCAAGGAGATGCAAATAAATCACTGCACAGCTAGAAAATGAGTAAATTTGCAAAGTTTGGTTGCGAAATGTTGTAAAATGCGGAAAATATGGCCTTGCAAAGTTTGCAAATTTTGTATATACTTTTGCATTGCCTGCGGAAATTACCAACATTTTCGGCCCAAATGTGGTAATATGCTCTTTCTAGCTGTGGTGATTTATTGGCATCTCCTAGCCTAGTTTTAAAATTAGTCTATAATGGGAATTGTCTATTTATAATATTTATTTATCCCCGAGCCGATGGCGCGAAGCGCCGTGCGAGGGTACTAATTCCCCCCCGGCTATTTACACCCGGGGAAATGAAAGCATTAGCGAAGTCTAAAGTTCATCAAATATCGCGGGCGTGGGTCACCAACCGTGGGTGGTCATCCTCACTGATCTAAAAAATATGGCGGACTGTCATGAATAGCAAACACTGTGATTGGTCCAATTTAAAGTTTGCATTATAACGACTGCATGACGACAGCGAAATAGCAAAGTAAGCAAACATTTCTTTTAATATTTCATTATTTGATGATTGATAAATTTCTTGCAAATATATTTCATTTTTGCTCGCATTTTTGCAAGATTTTGTAAATTTCAAGAAAGAAATGGCGAAAGAATCGGCTAAAAGAAGGGACCGACGTTAACGAAGGTAAGTTTGTTTTAAATATTGGTTTTATAATTGCTTTAAAACCCGACGGCCTTTGCGTATATGAAACAACTAAACAAGACAGCATATCGGGCCCCATATCAGTGAATCTTTAATATTGATTCTCTTTTTTATTACTTATTGAATTTTTTTAAATAAAAAAGAAAGCAAAGTTATTTGCATGCTAGAATTTGACAATGAAATCATTTTATTCCAAACTCAAAGTTTATCGATAAAGCCATTTTATAATTAAAGAATATAAAAGGCAGTTTAGTTGTATAAAGAACACTTTAAAACGTTTTGCGAAGCGTTTGTGGTATATGTTGAGAAATTGATAATTTTGTAATTAGAAGTGATATTTTTAAGCGATTTTTCATTTGTAAGAATATTCTTAAAAAATTATCGTGTTACCATGGCAACTACTTTACATATTTCATGTTCGGAAAATAAATGGTTTTGTCAGCAAGGCGAGGGTACTTCTGCATGCATGTATTTTCTAGTTTACGACAATATTTTAGTAGGAAACGTTCGCACAAATTTATACAGTTTGTAACTTGGACGGAGATAAAGTAACAATGATATTAATAAGATAGTCGATTCGGTAGGGGAATGATTTTGCATCAATGATTCAGCATCATTGGTGGCACAGTTAGATTATTGAAATGTGGAGAGTATCGTTAACCCTTGATGCCACTTGGTTGGCTAATTGCGGGTTCTATGTGAACTTCTAGCAGTATAGAGAAAGCGCACGTGTCCTATCTGTACGAGTTGTAGAGGATGAGGACGATGCAAACTACCAGTTGCGAAAGTTCTGGCACGAGACAGTTTACAGGAGTATGCTGAAGCCATCAAGTCGTATATACGGATTACAACATGACCTTCATTACTGGAGGCCAGGATCAAATTCATCTCCTCTTTTATTGCAGCAGGTAGTTGATTTATCCCAATTATAAAAGCAATTGTGCCGACTTTACAGCCTTTAGGAACTCCTCCGTTGATGTATTGGTGGGCGGATTTGCCATTGCCAACTTCAGTAAAGTGGGATCTATCATTTAAGTATGACGCAAACCATTTAATTAATCATCGAGGTATGTCCAAGTAAATTTAAAAGAGCACGGACTGTTGACGACCTAGGAACACCCCCATACTGGGAATCCGAAATTTTACCATTTATGTCTTCATTGATCCATCTGACAACAAACGATTCCTGAACTTTGGATAACACACTTGTAAGTGCGATTGGTCTAGTGTTTTTTACTATAGTACATGGTACGATTTTTGGGATTGCAAATGCCTTGTGTTGCTTCCAAATCTCGGGAAAATATTTAGACCTCGTTATAAATTTCCGCCAATGGAATTGCAAACGACTATGCAAACATTTTCAATTAGTTTTCAATTACTTAGCACCGTGGCCGGGCATATTTTTCAAGCTCGCCCGGTGTGGATATGCACTCAGAGTAACATCGCAAACATATTTTCAATTAGTGCCCGGTGCTTTATTTTTATTCATTTTCATTACTTCAATCTGAACATCTTCAACACTGACGGCTGGGAAGTTGTCTTGGCATTGCAAATCAAACCACTCATTTTGAACTGGTGGAAAGTCCTTAGTTAAGTTAACAAAGAATTCATTGATGAGAGTAGCTGATTGATTGTCATCCAAAACAAGTTAATTCATGCACTGTCTGAGTCGAATAATGACACCGTATCCTTTTTCTTACCAGTGAGTTTTTTAATTTGCTTCCACCAAGATTTTGGGCAATAATTTTGTTTAGGTCGAACTTTTTTGTCATAGAAGGACAACTTTGCTTTCCTTATTTCAAGACTTGATTTCGTAATGATTTAAAGGGCTCCATAATTGTATGACTTTTGAAAGCTCTATTTCTTTTAGCAATCAGTTCTTTTATGTTGTTTGTGATAAAAGGTTTATCATTACTATGCCTCTTTATTGTCTTTTCAGGAAAGAACTGATTGATCATTGAGTTAGAATACATTCAAGAAAGGAATGAACTTTCTCGTCAATCCCAATATTGCCAAGAACCTGAATCCAATCGAGGTTTTGCAGGAAAAACCCAAAACCATTAATATTAGTTGATTTAATTTCCCTAACTTTAACTTTTATTATTTTCCTTTCTTTATATCTGGCATGGATTTTTTGACTTCCATATTACCACATTATGGTCAGACGTAGACAATGGCGCTAATGTATCAGGACGTAGATAAAACTGAGCAATATTAGTAAAAATCAAGTCCAAGATGTTATTTTTTGTAGTAGGTTTCTTTACAACTTGATTTCGTTACAATGAATCTTTAACCGTTCACTTTGAAATTCAGTACTTATCGGATTAAAATCTCCTGCAACGATAAAACCCGAATTTGGGCTTTCCAGACAAAGTTTATCATAGCAGTTGTAATTAAAACATAATCGGCGTAAAAGGAATCCATAATATTTATCACTTTGGCTAGGAGGTAAGTACACACAACAAATGCAAATCCGTGAGATCTCTCTTGGCAGCCACTTTGGCCTTATATAGTTACCCATGCTGAAAGGCTTTCAAATGAGGGATTTGTCATTTCGTCATGAATCTTGAATGGAATTTTATTATTAATTAATAAGGCAACTCCACCACCTGTTCCATGCCTTCTGTCAAGTCAAATGAGATTTACATACCGAGGCAATGAATTGCCTCATCGGGTATACTATCCATTAACCATGTATCCGTTAATCCGTTAACCATGTCTCCCATAATCGGGGTTTTCAATGACAATTTACAATCAGATATGATGTTTGTGATGTTACTCTGAGTGTATATCCACACCGGGCGAGCTTGAAAAATATCCCCGGCCACGGTTTGAATCGAACCTACGACCTATGGAATACTAGCCCATGCAATGCTCTGCCAACTGAGCTACGCGGTCAGGTCGGTTCGAGTAAGTGATATTTCGGAACAGAATCTAGTTCCTTCGATACCAATGTAATCTAGTAATATGATTTTCTGTGTTGGTGTTGTGTACTCAGGTGAATATGATGTTTGTGATGTTACTCTGAGTGTATATCCACAAATCATATATAGTACATATTATCAGTATACAAATCTATATTAAATATAAAAATGTTATAAATATATAAATATATATATCAAACTGCAACGTTATTAAGTCCGTTAAACTATAGCCTACGGTGTAGACCCCAGCAGAAACCGTAGGCTAGTTAAACTATTTTTTAAAAGTTTTACGTTACTAGTGACGACTTTAATTTCTTTTTTAAAAGACTTAAATTGTTAATATATAGACTTCAGTCTACTCCGTAATCCGTGTGGGAATTGTAATTAGCTGTCAGGTCATTATCAATTGAAAAATTTCATCTTTCTTCTCCGAGTACATATTATTTTAGTTTTATTCAAGGCTAAAAAGTCGACGTTAAAATCTCCTAATAAACAAACCTCATAGTTAGGAGGAATGGTGGATACACAACTAATTATTCAACTCCTCAATACTTTCATCTAGTGAAACGACTGGGGCACGATATACACAATCTATCAGGATAGTTTTGCTTTATTGTATATAGGTCTGTTAATTTCTACCCAACAACTTTCAAAAATTCCCGTGTCAATGTCATATCAATGCTTATAAGGTACACCATTCCGAATATAAAACATTGTTCCGCCACCACGTTTGTCTTGTTTTCTATCCTGTTAAGAAACATCAACCGCGCATCGTCACTTGAGAATCATCCACAGATTTACCTAGTCGACGTTTCAGAAACATGATATGAAATATGTCGATTCATTTGTTGTAAGTGGAAATAACGTGAATCTGTAGAAAGAAATCGAAACTAAATTCTAGGAATTCAGCAGATCCAGTAGTTGGAGTTCCAAGGAAGGTCAGGAAAATTAAAATCACAAGTGATTAGGACTTTGTCGTTAGTAGTGTATACTGTCGTTTCAATTCAATTCGGAAATGCTGTTTCAATTCAGAAATGCCGTAGACAACTCCAGCCATCCATAAGTGTCACAAATAGGGGTTGATAACAAACACACGTTGTTTAGTCGTTCTGGTGTTGATATTTTGGCATAAATTTATGATTATGGTCAGTAATTACTAGACTAAGTCTAATTGGCAAAAGACCACAATGTGCATTGTGTTAATAATTTTTAACATGACCACTATAGTACTGCTTAACTACTAATGATCTGTGGGCTTGTTGCGAACCTGATGGTGCTTATGTCATTAACTGACCTTCATCAGTTTCCTCCACCGTTCACAATCATGTAGCTACCTGTACAATTTCCATCATTCCTTAACATTGTTGATTCACAACCATCTTGGCTTACCCTTTCTGTAACTTAGTTCCATCAACCATACCAAGCATAATCATTGATCAACTTCAGTAATGAATTGTCACTTATTCTACAAATGTGCTCACATGTTCTCTTCCTTATGGTAGTCACAAACCCTATCTACCAGGTGCACACACTGCTTGATTTCTTTGTTAATTTGTCACCTAATGGAACCCCTTCACACCAAGTAGCCTTCTATAACACCTCATCTCGAGCAGGGATGGATCTGGTATGGATGGGGG